ACTCACAATTTTATATTTTAACTCAGTTATAAAGGTAAATAAAAAGACACCAAAATAACAGATTATTTACATTAATAAGGGAAATGGTGTTTGGGTTGGTAAAACCTCCGATAGCAGTGTTCAAGCTTTATGTGTGAGAAGCACCTGGAGAGATTATTAAAACAGATTGCTGGACCCCACCCCCAGAGCTTCTGATTTGGTATGCCTAGGGAGGAGCTGGGGAATTTGCATTTTTGACAGTCTCCCAGGTTACTGCTCTGTGACCCACCACACTTTGCCAAGCATGACACATTGTCTCTGAGTTAAGTAACAAAGCCTCTTTGCTTGGATATGACTGAGCAAACATGCATTTAACTATATATTAGTTTGTAAAGTTGTTTGCAGTTTTAAAAGTTAATATGAGGGAATCCTTTTGCTTTTTTGGAAAGGTTAGGATGCCTTTAAGCTGGTCCAACCCGTGGCCCACAGGCCGCCTGCGGCCCAGGGTGGCTTTGAATGCACCTCAACACAAAATTGTAAACTCTCTTAAAACATCATGCGATCTTTGTTTTTGCGACTTTTTTAAAGCTCATCAGCTATTGTTAGTGTATTTTACGTGTGACCCAAGACAATTCTTCTTTTTGCAGTGTGGCCCAGGGAAGTCAAAAGTGTGGGCATTCCTGCTTTGTACATTCTTTTTTCTTAGAACTATTGTAAGTTCCAAATTGATATGATCTGAACTGTGCATGTGGTCATGATCTGATTGGAGTTTGAGATGCCTTCTCTACCCCCTTCCAGCTCACTTAACCTCTGTAACTTTTTTTTTCCACTGAATGTTTGGGGTGATAATTCTTTAGCATAGTGGGCTTAAATGCCTGTGTCCCCACTAGACATTAACTTCTTTGAGGACAGGAGTCGCATCTGTCCATTTGCTCACACTGCTTAGCAATCTCGTAGATGCTCACTCAGTGCATGTTTAATGAAGAAATTCCCAACACACCTGCACTGGGACTGAGGTGTTGTGAGTGGCAACATGGTGTACTCAGGAAGGTTAAAGAATGTAGCAAATGTGAGGCTGACCGAGGTTGGGGCTGGGGGAAGGGAAACATGGCTACATATCTGAGCTGAAAGAGAAATTGGATGGTGATTTATAACTGTGTGGATTGTGGTTTATATAAAAGCCATCTGGGCCTCATGCTTGGATCCACCTCCCTGCATATGTCTTCATGGAGTTCTTATGTTTCAGCCTAGCATCAAAGGGGTGTTTTTTTGTATATGTGTTGTTTTTTTAAAAATTTTGCCATGAAGTGGAACTTAGCAAGGAATTCCTGTTTGCACTTTGTAAGGTATGATTAGCCTATGGCATCTGCATGTTGGGAACTGGTCAGGTCAGTGGACAAATGCCAGTGTGCTCACTTCAGAGAGTAGAGAATGGTGGCCAAAAGGCTAAGTTGAGGTGCTTCTAAAACAAAAACTGAACAGATGCCAACAGTTAGATAAAAATCAATATATTTCATTAAAGTTGATCTTTTGTGGATTGGCATGCAACAGGCAAAAAATTGACTATAACTGGGTAGCAGCTGCCCCCTTTAGGTAGGTGTGGGCTGTTGGTCACAATCTCCACCATTCCCTATTGTCTTATAGCTAACCCCTTTTACTCATTTGTTACCAGCCTATCCCCCTGCACACATTTGAGGTTTTTGATCCCTAAATGATTGTATTCTCATAAGTTTCCTGAGCTTCCTCAGGAATCCTAAGCACTGGCATATGGTAGCTTGAGAGATCTCTGTTTTGGGAGCATTTTGATTTGGAAATAAGGCCTATAAATGTTTATATTGATTTAAATTATTCTTGCTCCTGAAGATTTAAAATACTACAGAAGAACCTAAATGTCTTCCCTAAGGAAGTTACTTCTTCCTCTGTGAAGTGTCCTGTTTAAAATGTAAAGGTTAGATTTGGTTTGGAGGGACTGATTACTTATTGCCTTGTTGTACTGCTGAAGTCAGAGGGCAGGAAAAATGACCAAGAAAGGTGGTGATGTTTCTCCTCAGCTCTGGCAAAGCACTTGCTGTTTGGTTGTTAATGCCCCATGTTTGCACAGGGCTTTGTAGCTTACAAAACATTTCCTATTGTGTTCAAATTCTAACTCTGCTATTTAACAGCTGTGACTTAGGAAGGCTGTTAAACACCCTGTACCTCCATCTCCCCATCTGAAAAATGATAATAATATCTTTCTTATCTAGTGTGGGTTAAAAAAATAAAAATTAACTGAAATAATAATGTATGAGACAGAATTTAGCCCAGTGCTTCATGTTTCGTAAGAAAGCAAATATTAGTTTCTGGCAAGGTCTCTGTACGGCTTTCAAGAAAGGAATAATTATCCCCATTTTACTAAAGGAAAAACTGAAGCTTAGGGAAATTAAGTACCTTGCCCAAAGGTGGCCAAGGAGCCCTGAGAAATCCAAGATTCCCTGGACTTTCCATCTGGTCATCTGAAATCCTTAATTCCCCTTTCTACCCTTGAAATCTCCTCTTAGTAATAGCTCCCATAATGATGAAACTTTGAGATGAGTTGACTTTTCCTATTTTAGTAGCTTTCATGGGTGAGAGGGCTCCCACAGTGGTGGGAACATGGTACCAGTTACACAGAGTTGGATGTCGGGGGAGAACCTGTCCACAATTTAATCTCATATACTTTCCCCTGAAGGACTATGAAGCAAGAAGAAAGGGGCATGCATTCCAGGTTTCCACTAAGGGACTACTCGTGCATACCTTTAGTGGGAGGTTTTCTGAAGTGAGTCAACTTGGCATTAAAGTATTCCTCAGGCCCCCTTCTGTTTCTCCAAGGAGATTGTACAGAGGAAAACCTAACCAGACCAAAGGGCCTTTCATGGTTAGCCTTTGGATAGGGTATTTCTTCCAACTTGGTCTTTTCATCTACATACATTGCATAACCAGTCTTGTGAGACTCCTTTGAGAAGGATTTGCCAAGATTTGATTTGAGTTTCAGAATTTATTGGTTGCCTCCTTTTATGAATGATTATCAAGTGCTCTCTCTTTATGATTACCCAGCAGTTTAATTTTAGCCCTTGGGGTGGGTGGAGGGAGCCTTCCTGATATGTGGATATATAGATAGAACCATATGGAATGACCAATATTTAACCATTTTTTACCTACAAAAATGGCAATTTTATCTAGTTCAACCAAAGATTTGGCAAGGATGTAAATAGTAACAGAGATTAGCATTCTATGACGACTTAAAAATTATCACTTTTTCTTCACAGGTGCATTAGGTATCTTGTGGCCTTGGAAAGCTCAGGGATATCCTGTAATGGAATCTTTCCTTGTCTAGTTTGCTCTCCTCTTTCAGTGGATTTTGGTCATGCCTCTGACATTGTGGCTGTGGCAGTAGGCAGTATGCAGAGTGGAGAATTAGTTATTATATGCTTAATTATTTTTAATTTCATAATTCCTAATCGACTGGCATGTAGCTCTTTGCCTTTATCACAGACTTTAGAATTTGAAACTATTGGCCAAATCGTTTCTTAGTATAAAATGTTTTGTGTATTCCTTGCAAAATTCCCCCAAATTATATATTCACAGTCATCAGTGATCTAGCATTCAGGTGCAACTCCTTAGCCATGCCTACAACTAGCTTTTGAAATAAAAAATAGATTGAGGTAATGTATGTGGAAGTTTCTAGTATTGTGCCTGATATGTAATAATCACCCACTGATTGCTAGCAGAATTTGAAATTAGAGTGGAAACAATGGTGATTTGGGGTTAGATTTCTCATAGACATTAACACAATAGGGTGTACTATAAAGGCAGAGAATAGCAGACCATGGCCTTCATTCTAGCCATCATCAGAGTAGGTAAGCAAAGTCCTGCAGGATTCTGAATTGAGTATTAATGCATTCAAAGGTATTTGCTTGGCTTCGTTTCCTGCTTATGGATGCCACCAGGAGAGGTCTTACATTTAAGTACATACTATCCTTGGAATTTCAGGAAATGCATGGATTGACTGTTCGTGAACAACCAGAAGAACCATAAGCTGCCGATAGTGGCAAATTGGCTGAAGCACAAAGCACAAAGCTGACTTACACAGGCTGGTGTGAGGGAACTGGTACCAAGCTGAGGAATGAGTTTCACTCTTGGCCTTCCTCTACAGATTTTTCCATTACCATATTCCTTTATATCTACTTATTTTGTGGGTATAACGATGTGGCCTAGTGATCTTCCAAAACTGAAGATTCACTGCATTCTAGAGACATATCTACTCCTGAATTTCAAGGATCTGCTGTCTTATTTAATTTTGCATTTATATTCTGCTACCTCTTGAAGATTCTATGGTGGCTTATGGGTTTAAGCATGTAATATGGCAAAGGTACCAAAAAAACAATCCAGACCTTTTTAAAAGAGCATAGTGAGTAAGTGTCAGGCTTTTGAGTAGGTGCCTTGATAAGAATAAGTTGTCCCTTAACATATTTGTGACTGTATGTTTAGTGGAGTGATTGTTTACTTAAAGTCAACTCTTGCCCAGGAGACTAGCTGCTCCTTGAGGGAAGGACCACACTGTCTTGTCTGCCTGCATTTTCTGCCCATTGAATAGGACTGAGAAGAGAATAGATGCTCAGTCTGTATTTTCAAGGAATGAACGAGACTGTCAGATTCCAGGTAATTGCACTGGGTGACATCTCCAAGTGTCTGTAATCCCATTCTCTCTACCTCTGTTGTGTGTCTTCGGGGACTGGAAGTCAGGAATTTTTTTTTTTTTTTTTTTTTGAGACGGAGTCTGGCTCTGTCGCCCGGGCTGGAGTGCAGTGGCCGGATCTCAGCTCACTGCAAGCTCCGCCCCCTGGGTTTACGCCATTCTCCTCCCTCAGCCTCCCGAGTAGCTGGGACTGCAGGCGCCCGCCGCCTCGCCCGGCTAGTTTTTTGTATTTTTTAGTAGAGACGGGGTTTCACCGTGTCGGCCAGGATGGTCTCGATCTCCTGACCTCGTGATCCGCCCGTCTCGGCCTCCCAAAGTGCTGGGATTACAGGCTTGAGCCACCGCGCCCGGCCAGGAATTTTTTCTTAAAGTTTGAGTCCAAGTTTATGTCCTCCTCTGTGGGTAAAACCAATGTTTTCTGCAAAAACTATTTGGTTTTTAAAAAGTAAAATTGATATATGTATACATTGTATAATGATTTCCACAGTCAAAATAATTGATACTTCTAGTACCAGGCATGCTGTACCTTAGATGTCTAGAACTTGTTCTTTTTAAAACTGGAAGTTGATACCTTTTGACTACCATCTTTCCATTTCCCTCATCCACCAGCCACTGGTAAACCACTGTTCTGCTCTCTGCTTCTATGAATTCAACTTTTTATAATCTCACATATAAACAAGATCACACAGGATTTGTCTTTCTGTACCTAGATTATTTCACCTAGCATCATGTCCTTCAGGCCCATCCATGTTGTTGCAAATGGCAGGATTTCCCTCCTTTATTATGGCTGAATAATATTTTATAATATACCACATTTTCTGTATCCATTTATCCTTTGATGCATTGCACACTTAGATTATTTTCCTAACCTGGTAATTGTGAATAGTGCTGCAGTGAACATGAGTCCCCAAATTAAAAGGAGCTGAGCAAGGCAATAAAGCAGGAGGAGAAGCAGTCTGACATGGGGACTCATAAGCTGTGTCCAGCCCCTGATTCCCACATTCTGAAGCTTTCCTGTTTCAAAGCCACCATGAGAGCTTGAACTGGCTTGCTGTAAACGTTAATGCTTGAATGGCCAACTATCTCTTTGAAATAACAATTTACTTTCCTTTTGACAGTGGTAGTTCTTATGGTAGTTCTATTTTTAAGTTTTTGAGGAACTTCCATACTGTTTTTCGTAATGGACTGTTGACTCTCCTTAATGAAAACTATTTGCCTAAAAGGTCTTAGGCTTTCTCATGTAACTCAATAGCAGAGACTTGGACCACAAAGTTTTTTGGATAGATAGTTGTGGTTCTGGCAGGGTAAAAATGAATGCTAGTGACAAATTATGTATTCGTAGAAAGGCTGTACTAGTGTCACATAATTTAACAAGTCTCAGAGTATCTCACACTTCGAAATGATCTTTCACTTTCAGGAAATGCCACTGGTATGAAAATTCTGCCATTATGAAATTACATGAAGAATGAGCCCTTTTAGAGCTCTAAATATGTGAAGTTCCAGATCATTGACATATATCCACCCACCCAATCCTCTCAGTAATGGTGGGAGATAGATATCAGCATTTCATGTTACAGATGACAAATCTAAGGCTTGAAGCAGTTAATAATTTTCTCAGACTCTTGTGGGCATCTGTCAGGGAGCCAGAACCAGGGTAGGAGGAGTCCAAAGTCATGTTCTTTTAAACAGATATTGTCACCTAATAATTGTGGGCAAGAGGTAATGTGGGAAGCCAATGGCAGTCCCTTCGGTCGTGATGTGAATTTGTTTATCAGCAACTTTTCAAGAAAGAGTTGTGGAGAAGTAAGCATGACATCAGGTTATGGAGAGGGCCCAGATTCCTGGAGAGCTGTGCTTGAAAGGAAAGCCGGGAGGAGGAAACGGAAAGCAGATAAGCCTGTTCGATTCTCTGTTTCACCAGGGGCCAACCCAAGACACAGCTTTGGAATGTCCTGTCCTTAGAACTATTGCCCAGGGCCACTCATGCCTAAAATTACAACACAGTAACAAAAACTACCAGTTGTTGGGCACATATTAAACATCACAAATATATCCTCTTGTCTAATGACAACCACCACCCTGGGGGGTAGGTGTTATAATGCCCATTTTATAGATCAGGACACTGGGGTAACTTGCTGAACATCATAATTTAGTAAATGCCAGAAACAAGATTTGAATCCAGACTTGTCAGAACCTAAAGCCTGTATTACATCCTCTAAATATCACTCCTTAGCCCTAATCATTCCCCTTTTGTGTTTGTGTCCAGCTTCTAGCTTGAAGTCCTTGACTTGGAGCAGTTATTCCTTTTGGAAGTGCTAGGAAGTTTTAAGGAGAGTTACTCTGAAATTGTAGCAGGAGAAAGGATATACAGAATGGGATATTGATTGAATGTACACAAAGGTATCCTTGGGCCTTTCTGACAACACTGGTCACCAGTGGAATTTTTCCTCGCATAGGGTCTACCATCTCTAAAAGAGAACAGAGTTCAACCATAAGAGTTTCTTATGGGAACCTCCAGAGTAAGGATAGACTTCTAGAACTTTAGCTACAACTCCCCTCCCAGGTTTCTTTCTTTGTTTCAAGGGAAAAATTGAGAAGTCAGAAAATAATAGGAAAATTATTCTAGGCACTTGGAAGCAAAGTGGTAAAAGATAGTCACTGCAGGAATTTGAGAATCTTGCTTTCAATTTTTTCTCTAGAGATAATTTTCTTTGTATCCATATGGACTTGCCCATTTGCTGTAAAGCAGAGAGACTCTTAAAAACTTTTTTAAAAAGGGAATTTTTGACAACATCTTGGAAAGCTGAAGTTATAAATATTATAAACAGTATGGTGGATAACACTGCCAAATTAAAAGAAGCTGGGCAAGGCAATAAAGCAGGAGGAGAAGCAGTCTGACATGGGGACTCATAAGCTGTGTCCAGCCCCTGATTCCCACATTCTGAAGCTTTCCTGTTTCAAAGCCACCATGAGAGCTTGAGCTGGCTTGCTGTAAAGGTTAATACTTGAATGGTCAAAGCTGGGACAGAGTCATGGAGCCCCTCTTATGACTGGACGAAGTTGGCTTTCTTTATAAATCAGCCTGTGTGGCTTACACAAGGGCAGGCCCTGATGCTCCCGAATATTTCCATGCCCAGGAGAACTGGAAGCACCACCATGTGTTTCCCTCATTTCTGAGGTCCCCTTGTAAAATTAAAAGTATAGTGTCAGGACGCTACAAACTCTGCCCTATGGGGTTGTGCATCTCCAGGACCACACTATGCTCCATGAGACATGCGATCTTGTGAGTTTGCTAGGCCCCCCACACTGATACAGGTGGACAAAAAAAAAAAAAAGAAGGTGGGTAAATCATGTGTAAAGTTGTGGCCTCTAGGAGTATAGAGGAAAGAGACAGATAACACTGCAAGACAGACATTTAGGAGGGCATTTCCCCAAAGTTCATTTTGCTTTTTGGCTTTGTTTCATTGTTTTCTTCTTCTTTTTTCCCTTTGGAAAGAGACAGAGGAAGGGATATTAGAAGGATATGGAGACCTCTTAGATACGGAACAGACATTTCCAGTACATGTGACCACAGATGTTGATATTTGCCTCCCATCCCTCCCCTTCTTTGTGACCAGCCCAGAAGCCTCTGGAACCCTACCTTGAGGCCCCTGTTTGACCCACCCCTAACATGAAATAATCCATCCTCCAGCTTTCAGATAGGAAGGACTTGGCTGGGTTGCTACTGCCATGGTAATGGGGCAGGTCGAGGTACTGACAAGACTTCCCAAGGAATGAAGAGACCCTTGCCTTTGCTCCTTCTCTATGTCAACTCCTTTGTATGGTCAACATGCCCCAATGTGGCCCTGTTTGCCCTTGCTCAAGGGACCTCTCATTGCCCTTCTCCCTTGCCCACCATGCTCCAGCCATTATGACTTTTTTTGGGTTCCCAGAATGTGGTATATTGGATCATGTATGGAGTCTTTTAGCTTTGGATTCCCTAGGCTTGGTAAGTTCTTATTCTCCCCACTGTTGGTGCCTGGCTAATTCCTTAGGTCTCAGCACAAATTTCCCTTCATTCCTTCAGTCAACAAATATTCTTGAGTAGATCTATTATGTGCTGCACCCTATCCTAGGTGCCTGGGGCTACATCAGTGAACAAAGCAGACAAAAAACCCTATCTGTGGACCTACATGCTGCCGCTTCCTTAAGATATTCTTGTCTGTTACCCTCCCCCTGGCCCTGCTGCACCCAGAGGCTAGATTAGGTCTTCCTTCCTGCATACACGTTCCCAACACTCTTCTCTTTCATGGTAACCATAACAGCTTGTCATCATGTACTTATTTGTGCATTCTTTATTTAATGCTGGTTTCCCTATGTTAGACTGTAGGTTCTACAATGTTGGGGATTATGTCTGTCTTATTCACCACTATATACTCAACACCAGCACATTGGTTGACACCCAGTAGGTGCTGAGTAAATAGGGGTGAAGGAATAGATAAATGAATGGATGACAATTATTTTTTATGGCAAATAGCAATATCAGGTATGAGGGTCCCACCCACTTCTGGGAGGAAGTTGTTTGAGTTGACATATGAGTTTTATGAAGAAGCTACACTGTGCTTCCAGAGTCACCAGAATTTACAGGTTCTCACTTAGCCTTGCCTGGGGTCTAAAGCTCCTACTGCCTAAGCTTTAGGCATTTCATGATTTACAAAAATGGTTGTGACCATGCCTGACTTTAATGCAGCAGCTGTTTGCCTCTCCTTCCAGACTGGAGATTTCCCAAGGGGCTTGGTGAGAAACTGTTATACCGTAAGAACTACAGTTCCATTTATTTGGTATGCCCAGAATGTCATCTTACCCTAGGCTGTGGTAGCACCCATAGAGATGGTCTTCGTTTGCATTAATCATTTTCATGCGCTTTGCACTCAGCTACACTGGTATTCAGAGAAAAATGCTGCCATGACAACTGCCACAACAGATGGTATTTGATCAGTCTCTAAGCTACCAGGGAGATATATAGCAGTGCTTCCGAGGTTTGCATATTTTGCGTTATCAGGAGACCCAAGTCCAGCCTTAATCATGATTGAAATGCAAAGTTTTCCATTTGTTTCTTATCTCCTGATTCTCTTTCCAGTTGTTTGGCATTTGTTTTGATTTTTCTAACTCCCTAGCTCTCCTGGGTGGGGAAATACTTCAGGATATGGGAGACAAAGGCCGCAACACACATAGACCATGGAAGTTGCCCTGCAAGTCTAAACTTCAGAGACTGTTGAAAAACTATTCAACTTTGGGATGGCAGTCTCAGCAGAGATTGGCAAAAAGGCTTAATTGCAGCCTCTCTCATGGATGTTCAGGCACTGCACAAGGTGGAGGCCACATTTGGCTCCAAACAAAGGGAATTCTGGGGAGGTGCATCCTGGTCTGCCCCTTTTCTCTACCTCCATCCTTCATCCAATACCTCTCTGCTCCCGGAGTCTCCAAGCCACATGGTGGTCCCTCTTCTGGGGAAACCCAGAAGAGGGAATGCTGCAAATTCCAGCAACTCAGTCCCAGAGCTCTTGGACCCATTTCTATGGCAACAACTACAATAGCTTCTCACCCAGTCCCCAGCCCCCTTCAAAAACACTGGAATGTCAGACTTCATACAGATATTTTTCAGCTCATTTTGGAAAGTAGTTTATATTGGCCACTACGTGCTAATGAACAAGTTTGGTCTTATTTACATACTTTGCTGTTTAAGAGTCTTTTCTTTCACCTGCCTCCCAACTTTAATCGGATCCTTAGCTCATGCTGTGTGTCTAGATCACACATGAGTCTTGTTGAAGATAGGCACGAGAACATCATTGTGCTGTAATGACTACTGGGGTGCTGCTGCTGGGGCCGTTCCCTCTTGAGATGTGGTAGGAGTTGGCAATTTCAACAGTACTCGAAGATGGATTGTGTTTACCTGTACAGTATTTAGAAGAAAACCTTAAGGTGAATTTTAATCACAAGAAGGACTGGATCAAAGAAACAATCTCCCTTTCTGATCTCCTTCCAAATGAAGCCAGGAGGTTGGAAGCCACATCTGACCCCATTCTGCTTCCCAGCCTCACTCTCTTCCTGGGGTGCAGATGAAAGAGCGTGGGTCTCGGCCACCTTGTCAGCAGTGATTTTTAACCTTAATGGAATCTTATTAAACAGTGGATTTGAGACTTGAGGAATGTTTTTTGAACTCCTTCTGTGAACAGAGAAATCATAGTAGAAAGGTAAAATTCAAGGCACTTGATGGACTTACGAATGATCTTTTAAATAATGACCATGTTCTTTGTTTTAACATTTTCTGGAGTGCAGACCAGCCATCTGCTTTTGGCTCCCTGTATTTCTTCTCTTTAGAAGAAAACACTGGTGCCCTTAGGCTTTTTCTGTTCACCTAATAAAGGAAGATCCTAATGCTTCTCTTGTTTATGTGCTCTGATTCTTCCTGAGACAGACAGGAATCAAGGTGTGTGTTGAATGGCTCTGTGGACCCTAGAGGAGGATTATCTAAATGCAGGCTCCTATGTATGATGGGCAGGAGGACTTCCTGGTTTCTCACCCAGCTCTGTCATTTACGTTGACCTGTGTAATCTTGGTCAAAAATCTGACTTCCTTACCTCACTTTCTGTATCACATAATACTTGCTAAAACCAACACCATCCAAAGAATTGAGTGCCATGCTGGCGCAGAGCAGACATCTACAGAACAATGTTGACTGAATGAATGCTTGAAAGAATCTTGCAACTCAGGGCCTCTCAATCTCAGCACTGTTGACATTTTGGACTGGACAGTTCTTTGTTGTGAGAAGCTATCCTGTGCATTGTAGTATGTTTAGCAACATCTTGGCCTTTATCCATAAGATGCTAATAGTACCCTGCCCCCGTTGTGACAGCCCCAAATGCTGCCAGTTGTTGACAAATTGGTCCTTCACCTCCACCTTCCATCCCTAGCCAGTGGAGAGCTACTGATCAAAATTATAAAATTCTGTGAAAAAAATGACAGGACTTTAAAAAGTTAACAAAGAAGTAGTATTCGGGTAACTTATTTATAATTATCCTTTTAATAGCATTGGACATTAAAAGAAAGTCCAGCAGATGGCTGAATTGAAATGTATCAAGGCTAGCCTTGCAAACAGACACTATCATGTACTTTAAATGATGCTGTATGTGTTGAATGTTCCATAAATATAAGTAATGTACTTTATGCTTCTTGGAATGTGAGCTCTGTAGAAATAGTGTTGTAGTAGAACAGTGCTTTTCTTGAATATGTTGGCAGTTGTCTTTATTTTTTTATTCAGTGCCATATTGCTGGACTATTGCTGAAAAAACTTAACCTACCTCGTCAGCCCACCTCCATGACACTTCCCAGGATAAATATCAAGTGTACTATTTTTGAATTTGCAATTAGAGATTCAGGGATGGTGAGCTTTTTCTTTTTCTCACTTTCCATGGGAACAAAATTGCCAAAGCCTCACTTACTAGCCATGTGCAAGATATTATATAAAAGGACTAGGAGAGAATGATAGGAAAAGGCAAGCAGTAGAAGAGGGATTTTATAATTTTATAATTTTATTATGATTTAAATACTAGTGTCTCTTTTGGGGGGCAACAAATCCTTTTGAGTGGATTTGGTATATTACCACTGTGTACAGCAGTAGAAATAAGCACTGATAATTAACATTTTTTCTCAAAAGCAGGGTTTCATGGTATGGCATTCAGAGGCACAACTGTTATTACACTTACAAATGAGAGCAGATTGCTCCAAGACATCACACTCGGGGTACTCCCAGCCAGTCTTTCCTTTACTTTCCCCTCCCCTATTCCCTCTAAGCCAATAGCACCTGGTTGTCTGCATTTATGTAAATGCAGGCTCCTGTGTATGACAGGGAGGAGGATCTCCTGATTTCTCACCCAGCTCTGCCATTGACATTGACCTGTGTAATCTTGGTCAGAAATCTGACCTTCTTACCTCACTTTCTCCATCACGTAATACTTGCTAAAACCAACACCATCAAAAGTGGTCATCCCTGGGGCTGGACAGGGGACAGGAAAGATGAAAATAAAGCTTACCTTTCCTCCATGTATATGAGAAAGGACTTTCTGCAATGATGGCAGGCATAACGCGTAGCATCAACATTTAGTTCGCAGCAAGTTGCATTCTGCACCTTTTTCTAGAGATGAGAAAATGTCTTCCAGATGAGGACCCTTGAAGTGTGAGATGGAGGTTGGAAAGGAGATGGGAACCTGTGCTAAAAATGCAAGGATGGAGTAACTTCAAGCTCAGGGTCGAGTAGAGTCTATAATACGGGTGCAGTTTTATTCAGGTGTCCCATAGCTTAATTTAAAGCCCTTGGAAGATGTAAAGACTGGGAGTAGATAAGTCATAAAATGCCAAATGTCAGTAGGCGGGTGGATGTGATCTTCAGGAAGACTGCCTTGGAGCTAGACTCTACTCAAATTAGAGCTCTTAAATGTAGACACTTTACATTTTCTGTGGCTATGAAGGAGCATTGGGAAATTGCTTGGGGTTGAAGAAACAGGAAGGGTCACATGTATACTGTGGAAGGCTATCATTTATTAGTTCAAAATAAATTCCATGGGTTAAGTACTGATTTGAGTTCATAGGAATGTTGATGGAACCTGGGAAGTAATGAGGGGTGGGGTGATGGTGGAGGGGAATGAGTGGGGTCCCCATTGTTAAATGCAAATTGTGTGAAATTTAAAGATCTCTGTGCTAAGTCTAAAGAAATTTCTTTTACTTATGGTACCCATTGACATTAATCAAGCCAGAACATTTTCCTTTAAACCAAAAAATAATTAGCCCTGACAACTGAAGTCAAATTAGCCTGTTGGGAATGACCTAATTGTTCTTTTGGGAAGGCTGGACACTGGCTTGCCCTTGGCTGTGACGTCAGCCCTGGCAAACCTGGGAGATCTCACAGATTCTGGTGGGTCCCTTCTTGTCACAGAAAGCACAAAAGACAGAGGGGTCCAGGAGGTCACAGCCGTCCCCAGTCATCTGCAATGCCTCCCATCTGGAAAATTTTGTGTGTAAATGCTACCCAGATTCCTGCTAAAACTCCCATTCACTGTTTGTACGTTTGACTGCCTGCCTCTTTGGTGGCTGGCAATTTCTCCCAGCTGCTGGTAGATGGGTGTGTCCACTAACCTTTTCCCCACCTCCATTTTTCTGGCAACTGCTCAAGTTTTCAGGATTGCACTGGTGGTGGCAGTGACCAAGATGAGAGCTCCCATTCCGCCCTGGTTATTTTTGGCAGCTGTGAGCAATGCAAGGCCTCGACTTTTGGCACTATGTGGTTGGGATATTAGGTAAACTTTTCCTGTGCAAGTATAGGCAAAGAGTCCTATCTTGCGTTCATTCATCCATCGGCCGTTTTTACAGCATTCTGTTTTCCCATTGTTCCTAATAAGAGATGGCTCTGGAGAGCGTGAACATTTATTAAATGTATATTGTTGTTTTTCCCCCCTAGATTGAAAACATAGATGCCTGCTTGAATTTCCTGGCAGCTAAGGGAATAAACATCCAGGGGCTGTCTGCAGAAGGTGAGTCAGAGCGCTTGTCATGAAGCTGCCTCATAATTAGAAATGCCCACCTGTTACTTATGAATGATATTAACACAATTAAGACAAGGGATGTTGGTGGGCTTCTCTGGTTTTGTTTTCCTTTAGGTTCCTCAACGGTTGCCTAGACTTGAGGATGCCAACGTTATTACTCACCAAAGACTCACTCCAAGAAGGTAGATTCAACCATACCAGCTGCCTCTGCAAGACCCTGAGAGGGTAGTGAAGGGAAAGCCATCCTATTTGAGAAAGATTTGCTTAAACAATGCTGGTTTGATTCACCTGTCTAGTAATTCAGTTAACTATCAAGTCAGGCCTTATCTATGGGAGAGAGCATGCTTCACCACAGAACATATTTCAGCTGTACAGTTCCCAGGGAGAAATGCTTAATCCTTATCTCTAACTTTTATTAGAGGAAGCAGCACTTTTTCTTGCTCTTATAAAATGCATGTGATTTATTAATGCAACGCTATATTTTTACATCGTGATTAGTTTTTAATGAACTTAAATTTGGTGACTAATTAGCACATTAGTTCACCAGCGTTTTGCTATTAAATTAGTTATTGGTCTGGAGATGGCTGGTTTGAATTCTCAGCCACCTCAGACAACATCTCAGCCTGAAACTTTCACGCTCTCTCCTGTTTGTAAATACAAGCAGCTGCCAGCTCAGAGCTGCCATAGGCCCAGGCATCCTCCCAAGCTCATTAGGCTGCACCTGCCTCCAGTTTTCCCAGAACAGGTAAAGCAGTTTGGGCTTCAGACGATAGCGCCTTTCCCTAGTGAGACTGCTTTTTGAAAGGATGCCTGTTAGCATGGACTCTGGTGGTCAGGGTGGGGCAGAGGAGAACAATGAGAAAGGAAACAGCCAAATGGAGCAGGTAAGTTTGCAGGCATGATGGATTCCATCTGGGACCTGTTCCTTGCCTTTGCTCTGCTACACGGTGAAAGCTTGGTTTTCCTGGCTGCGTTTCCGAGTGGTAGTCTCTTCTGGTATTGGGGGTGGGCAGTATAAATGGCCATGATTAGTGCCTAGTGGGTGTGTTGTGTCTCATTGGGACTGTAGGAATTCCCAATTGATGAACTGTAGGAACTCTGATGTGCTGGACCTGTTCCCAGTCAGGCACGGACACACTGCTTCCAGAGGTCACAGAAGCAGTCGTCGTGTGGTCAGTCCTCATTCCAGAGGATTCCCCAGCCCTGGGGTACGGACCCTCATCCATGGGGATAAGATCAGGGCTGGCTGACATGTGGAATATGCTTTGCTGTGGGGCGGGGGTTTGCTGGGAGTAGGCAGATGCAAATTCCCATTCAGAGGAGCACATGATTTCCTCCTGGTACGGAGTTCTTATGCTGGCTGGTAGGTGGCAGGGCATGCTCCTCCTAGTTTCTGGGAGTGATTAAACTCCTGGCACAGGCCTGTGTCCCCCAGCAGAGCACAAGCAGGGACTTTTATAAGGTGTGCTTGGCAGCAAGTGGCAGCAGGGCCTCTTGGGTATGCAGACTCTGCAGGCCTGCTTCATCCTGCCTAGCTGGGAGTGACCCCTGGCCACTCAGCTATCTTCCCATTGTCCTGACTTCTGCCTCATTTGTTCTCCCCGTCTGCCCCATCCTCTCTGTACCCCAAGGCATAGAGAATCTATGCAATAAGTATTTGTTGAATGAACAAGTACCAACTATGCTTTGAAGGTTTTTATCTGTATTGGCTTCAGTTCTCACAACTAAAGTTGGAGTTTATGACAGCCTCAGTTTATAGATGAAGAAACTTTGGCTTAAAGAGGTTATGAGTGACATCCCTGAAGCATGTAGCTAGAGAGTGGCAGAGCCAGGATTTGCACCCAGTTCTGTGTGATTTCAGAGCTCATGATCATGGCGTCTTCTGGGAGAGCAGGTGGATAAAATCTAGGTATGCCTTGTAAAGGTAAAAGAAATGAGATTTAAACTCTTGGTTACCTGGAACATGGTTTCAGAAAATGTTATAACCCGTGGAGGCACGTCATGCAGAGAGATATTCATCCGTCTGCCCCTTTTTAACATTGGGATGACCCTTGGAGGCTCTGAGCATGGGAAGAGCATACCGTAGCCAGTGGTATCAAGCCATCATGGTATAACCATGAAGGAGTTTTATGGTATTTCAGTAACTGCCTTAACTGTGCTATGTTGAATCCCCATCCTTCCTGCTGCGTCAAGACTCACTTAATGATATTTTGGCCAGAATGTATAGCTCTTTAGTCATCTTCAAGTTATCACAATTACTTGATGCCCATATTTATGACTCAGTCATGGTCATTTTTAAACTTCAATCTCATTTTAAACTTCAGTCTCAAACTTCAAGACTCTACTCAAAGCTCTTTACCCTCATTCCTTCCAGTACAAATGGCTTTAGAAGTTTGAAGAGAGTTGGGGGCATGCTGACTTGACTTTCTCTCCTTTCCCCTTCCCATGTTCTTGTGTCTGAGCCTCCAGAATTGAGGCAGCACAGAGGAAGCAGAGTTCTGCTGCTGGAGAAGGTGCTGTCCTCAGTATACATCACTGCCACTGTCTCAGCTGGTAGTCTCAGCAGGCCCTTCTGACCAGGACTCACTCCCATGTAGCTCCCAGGGCACTGGTGGTCTTCTGTGAGACTTGGCCAGATCTTTTACCTCAGTCTTATGATCCCTCCAATACCTACCATAGGACTAGCAGGAACGTGTGGGTTCCATTTTCCACTTGCAGTGGGTGGAATTGCAAGGCCTCCTGTCACCTGGCAGCAGTCCCCCACCAGACAGTCTCTCTCTGGTTCTTTTCCCCACTCAGGTGGCCAAGAGGCAGATAAGCCAAGTCTTTTCTAAGCGGATGTCCAATTTGGGACTGGAATGCCAGGACCCTCCTTCTTGCCAGCACCCCCACTTTGAGCGATCCTCAGAGCTACCACTCCCTTGACTTCAGGGGGCCCAAGAACTCTGCTACCTTGCCTCCTTGGTGAGGGGAGGAAAATATCCTTTCTCCATGATCATCAAACATTGTCTCCCCAAAATGACATTCTGTCATCTAGATCTTCTTATATTTTTTGGAGGTTGGGGAGTGATGAAGATATTAGTGGTAAAAGTGTGAACTGCTGCATTCCTTTGGGAAAGTGGCCCCAACGTCTGCCACATTCTCAAACTTACAACAAGCAAGGGTACTTAGAGCCTTTAATCCTCAAATTTGGCCTTATTCACAATTTCAGGGTCCAGGCAATATCTCATTTGACATCATGTTAAATTACAGGAATAGATTTATTGAGAACTTATCACATGTCAGTCGCTGAGCTAAATGCTGTGCATATTTATATCTTATTTAGTATCCCCAGCAACCTTATGGGGTCAGTATTAGTATTATCCCCATCATACGGATGAGCAAACCAAGGCCCAAAGAGATTAAGCTACACAGTAAAAAAAAAAAAAAAAAAAAAAAAGAGCCACAAGATCAGCAGTGGCTAAACTACCCACATCTGCTGATTCAAAGGCCTGATGTGTGCTAATGCACATTACTGCGTATGTTTCTATCCACCTGCGTAACTACTAGCAAAGCAGTGTGGTGTGTTAAAAAGTAATGTGGATTTAATGCTTTTTGTTTTCCTTTTGAAGATGACTGAGTGCCCTGAGGCTCCTTCTCTGATGAAAAAAACATCAGCAGTTGGAAGGCCTCAGATACATCTCCACCCTTGCCCAGTCTAAAGCTGGGTTTGCATTCAGGAGGGTGTATGCACCTGTCCTCAAAGCATTTCAGCAGCTCAGGCCTGCCTCGACCCGCCTGCTAGAGAGCCACAGGGAGCCTTTGTTCTAGGGCACAGACAGCGGATGCTTGGGGGCAGAGGCTGCAGGCCCAAGTGAGCCCCATGGAGGTGCTGCTGGTTTGGGGAACTTCCCTGGACTAGACCTCCCTGCCCCATCAGTTTTCCTGAAGATTGAACCTATCTATTTGCTCTTGGAGATGTGCCAGAGTCCTGTGAGCTTGGGCCTCCCTTTGCCCTGGGGTGATGTTCAAGATCCTCCACCAACCCTTCCCCAAGACACACCACCTGTCACAGCCATCTGTAAACCTGCCCCTGTGAGGAAGGATGGCCTTTATCTCTGGCCGTTTTGAGAACACCTGGGGTTTGTGCTATCTGGCCCTGAGCCCATCCTCCTGCAATGGAGAAGCGGAGGTTGGGGAGTAAGGCATATTCTATCTAGTTCAGCAAATGTTTCCTGGGCACATCCTGTATGCCAGGCCCAGTGCTAGGCACTGGGGTACATCCGTAATCAAGTCAGTCATATTAAACTAACCTTGATTCCAATTAATAAAAGAGAGCTGTGTTAGTGGTAAGCACAGGATCCATTGGTAACCAAAGAAAGGCAAATCACCTTTTCCTGGGGCTCTCAGTGGGGCTACACAGAAGTGGTGATGATTCCCCCCAGATTTCTTGGGATGAATAGGCATTTGCCAGACAGAAAAGGAAGGTGAAAGGAAACCTGAACAGAAGATCAGGCATAGGTAATATTAATATGATGGGGGGAAACCTTGCAGACATTGTATACACAAAAGTAGGAATATCCTTCCAGGTGGAAGGAGTGTATGCTTTGAAGTGAAACCAGTTGCTGATTTGATTAGCTCAGTCCTGGGTTTGCTGCCCTGAGGACCAGAGATCGAGGTACTGAGTTTGCTCCTCCTCTCATCCCAAGCTAGAAAGCAGGAGGTCTTTCTGTACCTGTAGGGTGAAAGCAGCAGGTGGAATGTTTCCATTTCCTCCTACCTATATTACCTGAGTATGGCATTGACTGGGACTTTCAGTTTCTGTTTCTTAGCAGAAGGGGCACCATAGGCTCTGCTCCCACCCTCTCATCGCACTTCTCCTATGGGTAGAGTCATTGGCAGACTTGGAGAGCAGCAAGAACACAGAGGGCTGACGAGTGGAGGGGCAAGTTAAGTGGTAGATACCAGTTATACAGCTGGCCCAACTGCAGGGACAATGCTGCAGGCTC